AATAAAGATGTTAACAAAAGACTTAGACCAAATTTTTTTGGTAGGAACCGGTTCAAAACATGCAACAAAATATGCTTCTTCTTTTTTTAAACCATTTCGTACCTGGACAAGTAACAGAGAGAAAATACACATGTGTTTACCATCTGGAAATACGTATCTACTGGTTTTTGCCATTGTGGATACATGGACCCATTCAGATTTTCTATAAAAAAGATTATATTCTAAGCTGCTTGATAAAAAAGATGTATGTTGTATATAATAAATAAAAGCTAAGGAATTTTGGGATGTCTTGAAGAAGAAATATAAGCATGAAGATGCATGGAGTGACAATTTGGGTAAAGAAAAATTTCTAGACTTTCTAATGGTGGATCCAAAATTCTTCATAGAACAAGTGGAAATTGATGGTATCCAGTTTAGCACTCATCATCAAGATCCGATCTAGATATGAACCAACATAGAGCTTTGCTAAGGGAGCAATGAACTAGGCCCACGAAGGTAGTCTTGGCCCAGCAAACGAGTTCGGCCTAGGTTCATGCGCGATGTTTAAGCTAACTTAGCAGGTTCCGAGTAAAAAGGAAAGGATTAACATAAATAATTGAAAAATCACTTATGATTAAGAAATTTTTAATATTTCTTTAGGGTTTATTCAACCGAATTTTATTCTTGTATATATATATATATACAATGTAATTCCCTGGAAAAATAATCCATAATTTTAATGAACTCAAAGACATATTGGTTATTTTCTCATCGTTTTTATTGTTCTTGAGGTTTTACTTAGAAAACCTAGTTCTTCAATCGTTTAGAAAAGATCCGAATAGCTTACGCGATCCAGATTCATCAAAAACATTGTAATTAGTTACGCATAAGATATTGGTTTAGAAAATATCGATTTATGAAAATTTCATGGTTAACTCCTCGATTAAGGAGTTTCCTTCAAGTTGGATTAACTTCATAAAGTATCTCACTCACAAGCGTAAGGCAGTTTCCTTTAAATACTTAGTTGTCAAGCTGTTGAATCTTGAAACTGCAAGAGCAAAGAAATTCTGATTTCTTAAAATTATGTGAACGTCGTTGAGCACAAAAGCAATAAAAAGAATAAGTGAACAAAAATTCTTCCAAAGGCCCCATAAGTTTTATGTGGCTAAAAATTTAGAGATAATTACTAAAACAACTTTGGAAAACCCCTTTAACCACTAAAACAACTTTTTGAAAAGATAGAAATGTTAAAAAAGGAGTAAAAGACTTTTAAACCTCTCATTTTCTTTTTAATATCGAA